TATGCTCAATTCATATATTTTTATATTACAAAGTTTGAAATAATTTCACACCCAATGCAGGGATTTATCGGGCTGTGGAGATTTTGATAGAAATCTACCCCGATTAGTGAATTTTGTTGTCAGAGCAGTTTTCTCACCCTCTTGGCGATTTAGCCGCTATCACAACTCCATACACTAAACCGTCGAGCTGATAAGTGACCATTTTCTCCAAACCACGCGATCATGTTCTCAAATTGATTTCTAATTAAAAAGAAAACAAAAAATTATTTACATCACAAACTAAAATAAAAAAACCACCTTGGAACGTGCTTGGCTATCACAGTAAGGCAACTCAGGGCAGGAAGTCCCAGATATAACCCAATACCCGAAGGTAGAACCCGAATCTGGAACCCGAATGTAGAACCCTCGAACAATGAGGGTTCACAGAAATGGGGGACTGCTCCTCACAGACGTGAGCCCTACTTAAATTCGCCTCTAAGTATCAATGAAGACAGTTCCTCTCAGTTCGATGGTTCAGCGTAGTTGTGACAACGGTAAAATCCCCAAGAGGGTGAGAAGACGACTCCGACAACAAAATTCACTAAAGGAGGACGATTTCTATCAAAATCGCCACAACCGGGGTGTGAAATTAATTCACTACCGCGGATTGTGGGCCGCTGAACTCCTACACGAGAGCACCGGAAATAACACCAAGTCACCTACAGCTTTCGTATTTACGGTCGAGAGCAATTATAAAAAATGACCTTTAACGAGATGGAGAGTAGAGTAAGAATTACCGTAGTATTATTAGAAAAAGAGAAGTCTTTTGTTATAAAAATAAAATTGAATATTTTTAAGAACTGTCATAAAATCATTATTCTTAATAAGAAAAACGTTGAAATAATTTACTTTATCAATGTATGGTTAATTTTTAGCCGACCATAAAAAGAAGATGTAACAAGTTTACCTGATATTTGTTGTCACTTGGCACGAGTTTGTGTTACTCAATAGCCCTGGAGAAAGCGTAAGTTAAACGTCGAAACGTTTGCAGTTTAAAAAGGCACCTTTGAACACCTGCTTTCTTTGCAGATTTATTACAGGTACAGACTAAATAGTATTGCACGTTCAATAACTTTGATGTGATTTTCATATAGGTCTAATAACGTGTTGTAAGGTAAATTGGTGTGCATGTACTCTGCTCAGACTTGCATGCAGATCTATTGACTTCGACGCTGCTTGGCACAAAGTTGAGATTTACTCAATGTTTGCTGTGCTGCTGAGTGCCACAAAAAATGCATTAACCTGAAAATCGCTCAATTTTACTGTAGCATAAAACAATATTGTCGAATGAAATACCGGCTGCGAATGACCGCCTTTGATCCGAAATCGTTCGCCATGATATTAAAACAAAATTAAAGTCTCAGTAAATATTTATTAAACTAGCCTATAAATCTGCTTTCTATTGAACTGGCGTCCATAATTGATATTTTGATCCGCGCGTATGTAATTAATGCGAACACAAAATGCTGCGGCTTCCAAAAATATATGCTCTAAGCGAAAAAACAACCGAATCGTGATCCGGGATCTCGTATGCATCTAAATATGTATCGAGGGATCTAACTAAGTTGCATTACCCAATTTATGTGGAAATTGGTTAATTACGCTCTGCATTTTGAAAACTACAAACTTTAACCTTGATACATAGGGAAAGTAACGGCACCGTATTCATGGTGACCGATGAATAGGTGACGTGAGCACCGTTTGGACCAAAAGGTTACCAGAGCCTATGAGCGATGTTCCGGCTCTGAAAATAACTCAAACAAGTTAATCACGTCAGCGAAACTTTTACACTTGCAGCTGCTGAGAAAAAGCTAGGCTATTTGTTTATGGCTAAGAAGAACTTTCCTCCGCATGACCTCCTCAAGTATTGCTCACAAGTTTGGGGTTTTGCCGCCCCGACTGCGTCACTCATGTTTGATTCTGTCCAAAGTAGGGCCATCCGACTGATCGATGACTCTTCTCTAACAGACAGTCTCGGGACTGTTCCGCACCGGCGGGCTCTCTGCGATCTAGCTCTTCTCTACCTCTAGACCAACGGGCTTTGCTGCTTAGAACTCTCCTCCATTATGTCACCTCGCTATGTGCCTACCAGGCAGACCTGCCTAACTTCGGCCTCCCATCCATTCGTACATCCAGAGCTGGCCAATACGACGGCTCCTTTATCCCGAGGGTGGCGAAATTGTGTTATACTCTACAAGAGGAGGCGTTTCCCAATTCTATGTAGTTCAAAAATCGGATCAACAATATGTCTTTGGGATCCTCATATCAGCCGTGATGTTCAAAAGTAGATACACATTGTAGTTGCATATGTGCATTCGTTGAAACCAACAAGCAGAAATACGTATCGCTCAGGTTACCTATACTATTTTCTGCTCGAATCGACTTTCCTCTTTTTGCGGATTGTGCCTACTATTTTCATATTTTTTGTTATATACATTTCTTCGCATGATCATTTTTTCCTTGTAGATCCTTTGGGCTTAAAATACCACACCAAGTGGCTATAACTATAACTATATATAATATATTTTCTAGCCATTTTATACTACAATGTGTAGGTTGGCTCTTGTTGTGGACTTCGTGTGTGATTTTTTATTTTTTTTCCTCTCCATCTTTGTTTCCTCAGGTTACACCCGTATCCGGATGTATGAGTATGTGTATCTACTTTTGTAGTTGCATATGTGCATTCATTTCGGGCCTGATGAAGCCAACCAGCAGAAATACGTATCGCTCGGGTTACCTATCCTATTTTCTGCTCGAATCGACTTTCCTCTTTTTGCGGATTGTGCCTACTATTTTCCTATTTTTTGTTATATACGTTTCTTCGCATGATCATTTTTTCCTTGTAGATCCTTTGAGCTTAAAATACCACACCAAGTGGCTATAACTATATAACTATATATAATATATTTTCTAGCCATTTTATACTACAATGTGTAGGTTGGCTCTTGTTGTGGACTTCGTGTGTGACTTTTTATTTTTTCCTCTCCATCTTTGTTTCCTCAGGTTACACCCGTATCCGGATGTATGAGTATGTGTATCTACTTTTGTAGTTGCATATGTGCATTCATTTCGGGCCTGATGAAGCCAACCAGCAGAAATACGTATCGCTCGGGTTACCTATCCTATTTTCTGCTCGAATCCTCTTTCCTTCTTTTTGGGGATTTTGCCCATTATTTTCCTATGTTTTGTTATATATATATATATATATATATACATATGTTGTTGCTTATTCCTGACTTGCGCAATTACTTGTAGATTACCAACAATACAAAACAATATGGTGTCTTTCTTTCAGTGTGTTTTATCACAAACTTGAAGTGGAAAGTGTTGGACCATGAGCTAAGTTAAAATACCCAAAAATGAGTGAATTTTGGATTAAAATACAAAAATTGCGAAATATGGGCTTATAAAGTACAGTTAAAATGAAAAATATTGATGGAAGCTCAAAATCCATATGTTCCAGGATATTTAAATGCAAAAATTGCATATATGCAACCAACTTGTTAGGGTTGAAAACCCCGCTTGTGGACTCTGATCCTCAACAATCTTTAAAGGGATGCTGAATTGGAAAGCAAGTTTTGCAGTTGGATCTCACTATGTACGTATATGTTAAATGATGTATGTTTGGCAATTAATAATTCACTGTATCCTCAGACACTACGCTATTCCATATATCCTGATCTGCTCCGCATCAAAATGAAGCATGAACACTCGATCGCCGCTTCTAATCGCTTGTCCCAAACCGTTAGTGACCTGCAGACCAATAGGAGCGTGTGAATTTGAAGACCGGGCGCTGGCGTTCGTTTTGACGGAGCATTAATTAGATGTGATTGCACTATATCTCGCGAGTTGAGCCTACGCTGTGTGAATCTACATTTATAGTATTTGGGCTCCTGGACTAAAAATATATGCCTTGTGAAAAAACGTATGATATTGCGAATTGCAATCCTATAAATAATAGAAGCAGCACTGAAATAATTCCATGGGTATCGCGTATGGCGATTTGTTGCGTACTGCCAATATTTGGCATGATGCATTCGGGTTTTTATGTTGCTGAAAGCCGGATGGTTTATTAGGCCAATATACTGCGGCTTAATGGGCTTTGTTTCAGATTCAAAAAAAAAAAAATATGCTGTACGGATCAATGGCAGTAACAGAAAAAAAGACTGGCATTCAAGCTACTGTAAAGGTTATCTGATCACTAACCACATTTACTCCAAATAACGCCAGATATATCATTTCATAATCATCATCACATGATGCTAATCATTTGCAATTTTTTGTTATGGAAAATAATGTCGCTTTTTACTGATGCTGTGCGATCAAACCGTCGGCATGGAACATTTTCAAATTGCTTCAATCTGCTTCAAAAACAAATAGATGCCTATGAAACTTGCCAGCACTACAGTCTTTGGGGAGCAACGCATCAGGAGGGTTTTAGATTCAAAAATATGGTACACTGCCGAGTTGAAAAGAACGTTTTCCAAAAAAACAGTATGTGCATATATTCAGTTTTGATTACACTGGTACTGGTACACATACAATAGTCACATCTGTCTCAAAATATTTTCAATAGGCTGTGTGAGGTGTGCTAAGACATCTAATTAATGCGTGCATAACAAGATGCTCATATACGTGGTGTGCCAATTAAATTCCGGGAATACAGTAATAACTTGAGGTCTGTCAAGACTACGTCACCTGTCAACTTTTGTCCACCTAAAGAGCCCTCTTTTCCAGTTACAGTCCAAAACGGAAGTCGATAGTACGTGTGGTTTGAGTTTTGAGGGTGTTTTTTGACATAAAGTTTTTGAGTGACTCTCATTACAAGCAACGCGTTGTGATCCAATTTTTAGTGAAATCTGGCAAAAAACACTCGGAAATTTTCCGAAAATTGCAGTTGGTGTATGAAGACAAGCAGGGGCGGCTGGCCCTTAAGGTGTTACAGATTTAGTGCACCTGAGTGAAAAAATTAAGAAGCATGAAAACTCTAAAACACATCTTCATAATTCAATGGAATTGGCTTTATTGGGGACTGTTAACATCAGAGCTCAGTTAGATTCAGCATATTGGAGAAATATACACCAGCATAATGATACCATTACAAAAAACAGGTACGTTCTATCAAAAGTAATCGATGGTATAAAATTTTGCGGAGCATTTGAATTGGCGCTACGGGGCCACGACGAAACCGAGAGCTCCCAAAACCCGGGAATATTTTGTGGACTGATTAATTTTTCTGCTGAGCTTGATACAACCTTAAGCGAACACATAAAAAATGCTTCAATATTTAAAGGATATATATATATATATATATATATATGTATTCTTGAAGTTTGTCATGAAGAAATAATAAAACAGATTAACAGAGCCTCGTATTTGGTGATAATAGGAGATGAAAAAACGGACATTTCGAGGAAAACCCAACTGGTAACAATTTTCAGATACGTATTTAACGGCGAACCAATAGAACGTTTTTGGAATTAGATGAATCCCGAAAAATGTGACGCTGATACTCTCACAAGACATATTTTGATCGTAGATCCATTAATAGGAAATTTTCCTAACAAACTGATTTCACAAAGCTATGATAGAGCCGCGGCAATGAGCGGACATAATGCTGGAGTACAGGCAAAAATTAAACTGCTTACTGCTCACTATGTGCATTGCTATGCGCATCAGTTAAACCTACCTGATTATGTCCCAAGCTGCTTCCACAAATGCTCAAGTTCGGGTGTTCTTTGGGGATTTCCGGGATTTTTTAAAAATTCTCCTCAACGCGTAGAGGTACTGAACAGAATTGTGGGGAAAGAATTCCCCAATTAGCAACAACTCGTTGGAATTTAAAAAATTCGAACAATAAATGTAGTGTTTGAGAACAGAGAATCGCTCATTGAATGCATGGAAGAAATATAAGAAAATTTCACTAATGAAACCGTTTGCAAGGCAGCTTGCTGTATTCGCCGTATGTTGAACGATTCTGTTATCGTGTTTTGGTTGACATGTTTTCATCGTGCCATGCCTCACGTCGACATCTTGTTCAACCAGTTGCAGAAGAGAAAAACCGAGCCAGCGCAAGTTAAAACGGCTATCGATAATTTTGAAAAATGTATTGTCGATGCGAGAAATGAAATTAATGACATAATAAATGAAGCCAAAAGTATTTGCACTGAAAGCCAAGGTAACAAAAGGAGACGACGTAATATTAGTAGTCACGATCACCGAGTTGCTGCATTAGCAGTATGCGACAATATAGTGAATTCTGCAAAAGACAGATTTCAATTCAAATATCATTATTGGTAGCCGCATCCTTTTTTTTCCCGAACACTTTGGAGAATACAGTGGTGAGTTTCCTAACAAGTTGGAAACTACCTGCTTGGCTTATCGCGAATTAGAAAAAAGTCGTTTAAAGACAGAGTCTTCTGTTATTTTGCACGGAATGATTGCCGAGATTTACATGGAACTCTGTCTCTTTTGAAATTTTTGATACAAAATAGTTTGAAGGAAACACTAAAAGAAAGAGAAAGCTATTAGAAATTATTGTTACAAGTCCTATGTCAACATCAGAGGCTGAACGAAATTTCTCAACATTGTAGAGAATCAAGACCTTTCTTCGAAATACTATGACTTAGGATCGCCTTACAGCGTTGTCGATGCTGTCCATTGAAAAGGAATTTATTTCGACCATGGAAAATTTTAACGGGAAGGTGATCGACAAATTTCCTGCCAAGAAGGAGCGCAGGATCGAACTGACATATAAAAAACATGTAGGTTTAGGTAGGTTTTAACTTCTCGTACCGACGCAAATGTCGACCATTTGCGCGCTCTGATAACATCTGACCGGCGCCTAGCATTGGTGCATTGTCTGACGAGCTAAATATGAACAAAGAAACCGTCCGTTAAATGTTACACGAGAATTTGTAAAAGGTTTGCGCAAAGATGACTCCAAAATCGAGAGCATTCCAACCCACCCTATAGTACCGATATTGCCTTCAGCGACTTTTTTCTTATTCCCTTAGATGAAAGAAACTCGTCATGGTGGCATAGAGGAGGTGAAAGCAGCTGTAACAAAGATGCTGAATGGGCTAACTGCAGAGGATTACCAAGGCTGCTTTGATCGTCGGAGCAGCGATGGAAGCGTTGTGTATAGTTAAATGGAGACTATTGTGGTGATCAATAATAAAATTTTATGTGTCATTTTATTTGCTTGTTGTTTATTGACAAATTCCCGGAATTTGATTGCCACACCACGTAAATGAGAAAAAATCTTGAATATACCAAAAAATTAGATCTAATCTTTACTTTCTCCCTTCCCACGCCTACTGAGACATTAAGTTTTTTTGGATGTTATACAAATATTGAATGCACACAATGAAAAATCATGTTACTCATTTCCATCGGTCGGTCAGTCTGCAAATCCTTGGCTCGTCTATAAGTTGGAAAGTAGTGCCCGGACTTGGATGAAATTCTTACACAAGGTTACAGATAGGTCAAGGACGAACAAGCTTTGTAGTTTCCGAAAATAGATCTCGAGGATCCTGATCATTTCGAAAAAATGGGTAAGCAAATTGGGGGGTATAGGGTTGTAGGGGAATGGGTGATGGTTGGAGGCACCTATTAGAGATATCTCACACGTCACAGATTTCTCCTTACATTTGCCCTTAAAATAAATAAAGAAATAAACAAATGTTATCGACAAGCAACTCTGTGACCTCAGCGGCCGGCTAACGGTGTCCAAAAGTGTCGTCGCATGACTGGCGCTCTGCCATGCTGCCGCGTTTGACGCATTCAGATACTGGGGAAAGGCTACTTGACACTTGGACGGTACTACGGTAGGGCAGGCAAAGAATGTTATGGGCTAATTGTATGAACATTTTGATGGACTTGATCCGTTTGATTTCACAGTTATACATGTTCATAACAATTGGAGATAATTACCATATCTGACAATTACAGATAATTTGCATTCGTCAGCGTTACCATAACTATCCATCTGATGAAAATATATAAACATAAATATATAACGCTAAAAAAGATACTATCAAAAGCAGATTGAGGCAAGTAGAGATAATACCAATATCCGTAAAACAACAAAAATGAAATAAACGATATAAAAGACCAAGGAGATTTATTAACTGGTAATCAACATGATGAGACGAGACTATTTCATGTAGGTGACCGAAATCCCATTTGCATTTATTATTAATTTTATTCTTAGAACCGGTCAATTCCGTAGGAGGCTAAGAAGCTGTAACTAGTCTGATCTACAACTCAGGTGAAGAAAGTCATACTTCATGCTATGCTTTTGTAAATGCCACTTTAGTGCAAAACTTGGGCTTGTACCACAGATAATCTTAACACGAGACTTTCAGTAAATGTAAAATACGTTTTTAAAAGCGGCAAACCTCAACCTTCATGTATCATTAAAATGGAAAGGATATTACGTATCTTGAAAAGTAACATTTAGTTGGTTTTTTTACATTTTGTCATATAACCTAGGTTTATCTGCAAGATGTCAACTTAGCACTAGCGGTTGAGCACTTGTTGTGAACTCGTTTTGTAGCTGCACGTGTTGCCTAAATGTCATGATGCTTCAGCTATCAATGTTTGGCTCTGATGTAATGTAACAACTGCTTCAGAGATGGCATTATTAGCGGTCTAATCTGTAAATTGTATACTATAGCTGGAAGGAAACGGCAATGCATAAGTGCATAGTAAGGATTTGTGTGATTCTGGAAATTACATACGCTGAATTTCACAAATGAGAGAGATAAAAAAAGAAAATCTCGGGTTGGTTTGATACAGTATATTCACTGAATCAAAGCAGTTACGTTACAACGTTAAGTACCGACAGTGATGCACATGGTTACCACATTACTTGAGACCAGTAGATCCTAGGAAATAAACCACAAATAAACAACGGCCCTTGGCGTAATTACCTGACAAGTTTTGCGACAATGTCACAACATATAAAACATTAAGATTGTCATTCAAATTGACTAAATATGACGTAACTGCTTTGTTTCAGTGAAAGGACTATATATTACAAATAATATAGAAAGTATACTACAGACGGGAATATCTATGAGATGTGAAAAAATTACTCGTCTCTAGAAAGCACAACATATATAGAAAGTAACCAGTCTGGCAAAGCTAACAGATACACAATAAAGACCTTTTATTATTATTAGTATTATATGCTTCATTGGCAGCATTTTCAGTAATATTTTTCTCACATAGCAAGTATCACTGATTTTATACACATGCAGACCAGTACACATAGACATCCAGATGCGATCTTGCTACTCAACCAAGTTTCTTTCACATCTTCTCAGAGATCGTGTCGTTGAGTTTTTTTTTGATGGGGCTAACAGCGATCATAGTGAGCAAACGGGGAACCTAGTCTGCAAGAAAACATTTTGACGTTTTTTTTTTGTTTGACGTTTTTTATTTTTTTTTACATAATACCCCTGCGGAACATTAATTTCTAGACACATATTCACATGAAATTATTTTGTATCTCTGGGTTTTATATTTACCATAGAATTCCGTTACAGCACTCTGAAACACCCTGTAATAGTTGGCTTATAACAGCCTGTCGTAATTTCGGCGGTGTCTCCAGCAGTTTGGGTGCCATCAAAGCAGAACGCTCGCGTTGCCTCTCCTCCATAAATACTATAGTGAAATTTAATAGCGGCATCATACCTTTCGCATCTATTAGTGCAGCGTTACCTAGGACAAAGGGCGTCATATAATTATGGGTTGCATGCAATGTGGCATTAAAGTGCTGACGACAAGGAAGCAAGAAGCAATTGGATATTCGCGAGGAATTTCCTGAAGGTGTCACATATATACAGGATTATAGACACTCAGAAGCGACGTTATGCAAGACGATGCCGTTACTCTAGACGGTGCTGTACTAGTTACCCTCCAGCTTAACATCGTTCAGGTACTACGAAACTATGTGAGCAACTATTTTAACAAGTAGCGAGATTTAATTTTGCTTCACGGGATGATTAAACAGTGGTTTGTTTTTGTATCAGTATACAGGGTGATTCAAATCGTGACCAAAAATGAAACATATACAGAACCGCATTTTCAGGAGGGTCTGTTATGTAAGATTTTTCGTCGAGGACGTCATTAAAAAGATACGGGGTGTTGAAGTCTAAAAATAAAAACCGTATTAATGATATGCGAATATTTAAGAGTGTGAATCTACATGAAAAAGTAATGTTAGTTTGCTCTATAAACTATGGTCCAAAAATGTTTCCTTACAAAAACTCGGGGTGTTGAAGATTTAGGAAAAAAATGGAAATCAATTAATACTTCCAGAACCGCTTCAGATATTTCACTGATATTTAGTACGTAGTGAGAGTTAATAAAGTTACATATATTTCAATGCAAAAATAATTTTTAGCTTTAACAGTGGTACGCCAAAGGTTTTTTGCCAAAGCAAATGATCTCTCTTTAATTGTTTTCCTTCGATGCGCCATTTTTGAGTAAAAAAATAAAAACCGTTCTATTGTCCTCTTAGCTATGGATGTTGTGATTGTCCGTAAGTGGT